GCCGCATCCAGCCCCCGGGCCTTAGGTTGCCTACCCCTGGCTTAGGCCTTTATTCTCCCATATCAGTCTGCCCATATTTTGATATCTTCTGGGGAGGTCCTTCTCTGTGTCCCTACACCCTCACAGATACATGGGAAGATGAACATGGGAGAGGGCCTTATCAATGGCTGAAACCACACTCTGAAACTCTTTTCCTAGCACCAACCTTACTATCTTTCTGCAGGCAAGTAGGTCAAGACTTTCAGCAGGCTTTTGAAGAATGATGGCTTAAGGGGAATGGGTCTTGTATAATGTACTGGATTTTCTATTTGTCATTTTCTTTTTAATGGCTTTCATTTTTTTAACTAGCCTTAATTTTTTTTTAGCTGTGTTTGTTTTAGATGTTGTAAACCACCTTGAGTCCCAAACTGGGCTCAAGAAGAAGAAGAGGAGGAAGAGGAAAGGCTCCTTAATTTCCAGCTTGGCTTCTTGTTGGGATAATATTTACTTGCCACTAAGTGATTAAGATTCATTTCAAACCAGCCCTCATTGCTAGAGCCTGTAAAGTCAGAACTCTTTTGTCAGTGCCAGTGTCCAGTGCTGGCAATAAAAGCAGCAGCAATGATGTGCTGCTATGGACATGCAGGGTGTATTTCTCACATTCCTAAGCAGCCATGACAGCTAAGAGCAGAGTCAGAGTGTATCAACACCACACAGTTATAGCAGTTTGATACAACATTAATTGTCATGGCTCCATCCTATTACATCTTGGACTTGGCAGTTTTATAAGAGGTACATGGAAACTGTACTAGAAAGGTTTAGGGCAGGGGTAGGCAACCTTTCCCCTTTAAGGGCCGAGGGACTTCAGCTCCCAGAAGCCTCAGCCATGTTGGCCAATAGTCCCATGTTGGCCAATAGCTCCTGGGATTCTGGGAGCTGAAGTCCTTCGGCCCTTAAAGGGGAAAGGTTGCCTACCCCTGGTTTAGGGTATTCTCCTAAGTATCTCACCAAATTACAAATACCAGAATTATGTGGGATGGAGCCCTGTTTGTTAAAATGGTATTAAACTGCTATAATTGTGTAGTGTGAATAGACTCCTAGAATGTTCAAGTCAGACCCAGCATGGCTGCCTGTCTCTGGGCCAAAACATACTACAGAAATAATCCAGTTTGAGATAGCTTTAACTGCCCTGGCTCAATGCTAGGGAATCCTAGGAATTGTTGTTATTTGTGACACCAGGGCTCTTGGACAGAAAATACTAAATGTCTCACAAAGTTATAAAGTTACAGTTCCCAAGATTCTCAAGTAGTTGGGAATGTTTAAAACAGGGGTAGGCAACCTTTTTGAGCCAGGGGCCGGGTTGCTGTCCCTCAGACAATTGGGGGGCCGAAGCACCCTAAATAAATAAATAAATACATAAAAATAAAAAAAAATTAAAAAATTTAAAAATTAAAAAATATATGCATGCACACTCTGTCAGCCTCAGAAAAGCCATGGCAAAACCCCTGTGGAGATTTTGCCAAGAAAACCCCAAGAACAACTAATAACAACAATAATCAATATCATTATGGTGGGTGGTGGCGGCGGCGGCAGGACCGGCCTGGGGCCGGTCCAAAGGCCTCATGGGGCCGCATCCGGCCCCCGGGCCTTAGGTTGCCTACCCCTGGTTTAAAAGCTTAGGTCCTCCAATCTTATGGAGCACTGTAAACACATTCAGCTAACACATAGAACAGGGGTAGGCAAACTTTCCCCTTTAAGGGCTGAGAAGCATCAGCCATGTTGGCCAATAGTCCCATGTTGGCCAATAGCTCCTGGGATTCTGGGAGTTGAAGTCCCTTGGCCCTTAAAGGGGAAGGGTTACCTAGAGCAGGAAGGGGATACAAGGGCCATCTACTCCAACCCCTGCCATACAGGAATACACAGCTAGAGCACTCTTGAAGGATGCCAATCCAACCTCTGTTAAAAAATCTCCACCACCCTTTGAGGCAGTCTGCTCCACTTCTGAAGAGCTCTTACAGGAAAGAAGTTCTTCCTATAGTTTGGTCTGATTTCCTCTCTTGTAATTTCAGTCCATTGACTTGTGATCTGCAACATGCAACATGCTATGAGCACTGGAAGATAGTGGATGGAGTGGAGGAGACAGAGCACCTCTTTTCCACAGGTTGGGATCCCAATGCTCAAATAGGGTAAGTGATCTTAGGTTTCAAATTTATGTCCTAAGTAGCATAGAATGAAGTACAGCCATATAAAAGTGTGTTTTCAAAGGCTTGTGACCCCTTTCCAAGGGACATCTTTCTCAAAGTATGAAAAATAAGCAGAGACCCATCAAAAGAAAAATATCTGCAGGAGAGCCATATAGATTGACTGAAGTATATACTGTATATAGTCAACTATAAGTCAACCTTGTGTATAAGTCAAGGGTAGGTTTGGGGGCCAAAATTATGGATTTTGATATGCCCTGTGGATAAGTTGAGAGTAAAATTTAGGAACATGTAAGAAAGGATCTAAAGGATGAAGCGAAGAAAAACAATGCCAAAGAACTTACAAAACTCCAGCAAGCATAACTGTTCACACAACTATTCAGAGTAAAGGCTGGATGGATGAGATAGTAGAGGGGGATCAGTGCTTCCAGGAATGATTGTAGTCTTGCCTTTAAACAAGGGATGGTTATATATATATATATATATATATATGAGTCAAAGTTCAGTACTTACATTGACCCGTGGGTAAGTCGACTCAGTTTTTTTGGGTCAAATTTTTGACTAAAATTTCTAGACTTATACATGAGTATATACAATAATTTGCTGTTGGGAGCAGTTATTTCCAGGCAGAATGTGTCTTCTTAGCTGTACCCTCTAGAGTGAGAGGTTAACTCAACAACTCATGAACTTGGATTGTTTCAAACAATTAAGGCAATTGCTTAATATTTGAATATAATCATAATTCACTCTACCATTGAGGGGTAGGAGTCTTGCTTGGGTGCTCTGGCGATAGCTGAGAACAGAGTGCATGTTTCATAAAATGTTATATTTCTTGCCAGGCCATTCACTTTTTAAATTTATTTAAAAGGAAGAGCTAAAATATTAAATTAGAAGATGAAAAGTCAATCATAGTTCAAATGACATGTTTGAGCTGTCATTTCTGGGGGGATAATTTGCACTGTAATACGACAATGCTTTTAAATGCACACCCTGGCTGACTGCTGTTCAGCAGTTTTAGCCACTTTTAGAGTTTGCTGCTACAGCTCTTAGAAACAGATGATATTACTCTGACCACCAGCAGCTGCTGGCACCCATGTTAATGGGGCAGTGAATCCACTCCAAGTTTTAGTTTGAACCTTAAAATTTCAGCCTAAACTTTTCCCCATATAGATTCTGCACTTTGGATAGTATCTATAAAAATCAGATGAAAACCCAGAGTAGATTCACAACAGTGGTTAACACCAACCTCTACTAACCAACCTCTGCTAACCTCAACATTGAAATGTCTGTACTAGTTATCCATTGTTTTCTGACCCCATGGAAGGTTCATTCGAAAATTTGACCTTTAATGCCCTAAGGGGCTTCATGCTTGGTTAAGAGAACTGCAGTTATTTAAGGGTATCACATAAGATACCATACAATACTGCATCATTTGGCTTGGAAGATCTCTATAGGAACCTCTGTGCACTCCTAATAGTTTTCCAAATGTTTAGGCACAGATCTTAACCAGATCTTACCACCTGCTGATGGTCAGAGATAGGAAGTAACTAATTAAAAATCTAGCAAGTTATCAATTAAGTTGGGATTTTTCTAAATAATGGGTATTTTTCTACATAATGTATGGTATTTTTCAGCATCATTTTTCAGTATGAGCATTTAACTAAAATTTTAATGGCAATTTAACATCAACTTATCATTTGCTTTCCCTTATCTTTCTAACATAAGTGCAATCAAACACATTAATAGAATCATATTTTAGCTTATTAAGAATTAACTAAAAGCAATGCCCCTTTCTGACTAACTTGCATACCTCTGGTGATGCCAGGGACTGAACCAGAGGACTTTTGCATAATTGTAGGCTCCTTCCCTGTCTAATTACTTGCATCTTTGTTTACAATTGCATGAAGTCAACATGAACCTTCTGAAAAGTTCAGAATAGGAGTCCCTAAGGCAAAGACAATTCACTAATAGATTCTAATGAACTGCTTCATATAAAATGCATTCTAGGAAATTGGGGTCACAATCTTTCTCTACAAAGCAAATAGTATTAGAATATCAGCCATTTGTGTAATTTCCATAATATAGGTTGTAAAATTATCATAAAAAGTGAGGACTGTCTTTCTGGGTTGTTTTTTGTCAGATACAGCAGATTTAAGACCCAGAGGAAAATATTTTATATGCTGTGTTTGTGGGATTAAAATTTCCAAAGATTATAGTGAAACATATTGCGTCACACTTTCTGCTTTTGCAAAGCCGCTCGACTGGTTTTGCCTTCTTGTGAGTACAATGGAGACTTCAGGCATTTTAAAACAGAGTTAGGGAATAACAGAGAGACAGCGTGGTATAGTGGTTTGAGTATTGGACTGTGAATCTGGAGTTCAGGGTTCGAATCAATGTTCAGCCATGGAAACCCACTGGGTAACCCTGGGCAAGTCACACACTCTCAGCCTCAGAGAGAGGCAAAGACAACCCCCCTTGGAACAAATCCTTCCAAGAAAACCCTGCAATAGGGTAACTTTAGGACCACCATAAGCTGGAAACACCTTGAAGACACATAGCAACACAACAACAACAACAGAGTAACACATTTTTCTAATGAAGTTATTCAGCAACTAGTTCCTTTTGGAGGGCAACAAGTTGGAATAGATACCTTTTTTGGCCTGTTATGGCTATGGCTATACTTAACTACTTTTAGGTGGAAATACATTCCAAGCATTCAAAACATTATAGCCAGATGAAGAATGTGAACAAAAAAGAAATTATCAGGTTAAAGGTTTGCAAATATTATGATGCCACATATCACTTAAGGGTATTGTTAAATGTTCAAAATTCCTTCATTCCCCCCTCCTTTGTTCTTTTAATTCATTTTGGATTAAATAAATGAGCTTGAACTATGCTCCCACATAGCTGGTATTTTTATAATATGACTACCTGCTGTGCCATCCACAGTGGAGATGGAAGATGTATTGTAAAGATCACACCCATTTGACTACTGGATACAAACAACTTTTTCTTTTATATTTCTAAAAATGAGGGAACCTTAGTTATTTAATCTCTGGTGCCATAGTTATTTAACTCTTCAGGGTGTATGTTTGCCTCAGAAATTTA